AAAATGGAGGACACAGAATTAAAAAAAAATACGTTTTACTCACACAACACCAGCCAATACCGCGTAGTCATTACTTTCACCGCTCTAGACACATCCCTCTCTCCAATTTCTCCTCGCACTTCTCTGAAATAGTATCCGCATATTTTGTCAAGGTCATTGTGGTGTTTCATTCCAAAGCTTTGTGAATAATTTTACGAGTAGCAATGCAAAGCAAAGGATAGCATATTGGAAGGGCATTATATTATATGCCTGGGGCAGTTAACACATCAGCTGAGCAAGGCGTACATATACGCCTGCGGCAGTTAAGGGGTTAATGAAGAAATGAAGTAGAAAATCAAAAATACATTTCCGAAAGTTCTGATTTGAGTGAAAATGACAATGATGGCATTAAAATTGAAGACAAATCAATTTCAAACACAGATAACAGCAAATTAAATGCTGCAAATGAGAAGGAGGAACAAAGAAAATCTTCAAGAGAAAAGACACAACCAGTTACGTATCCTAATCCTGAGACTTACCAAGTGATGTTTGCACAACAAGACACTCTGACATTTGATGATATTGTAAATCTACCAAAAGAAGAACAAGAACTATGGAAAAGAGCTATGGACGAGGAAATGAAACCTATGGAAAATAATGACGTCTGGGATCTACAGAATTTACCCCCTGATAAAAGAGCCATTTCTTGTAAATGGGTTCTACGCAAAAAAACGAGATGAAACTTAGAAACCCAGGCTCGTTGCTCGTGGTTTCATGCAAAAAGGCATAGAATATACAGACACGTTTTTACCAGTAATTAGTATGTGCTCTTTACGTTTAATCCTAATAATTATCAATAATGAAGGTTTACAAACTTTTACTTTCGATATCAAGACAGCTTTCTTGAACGATAAATTAGATCAAACCATCTACATGGACCAGCCCAAAGGATATGATGATATGAGTGGTAAGAAATGTAAACTTAAAAAGAGTTTATATGGTCTTAAACAGTCTCCTCGACAACGGTATCAGAAATTTCTTAATTTTGTTATTAAATTAGATTTTAAGCAATTGGACTCTAAAACATGTATTTTCATCAGAAATATAAATTGTAATAAAGTAATTATGGCTCTTTATGTGAATGACTTATTAATTGCAGGTTTGGATGTAAAAGAAACAAGTATTATAATATCACTGTTATCTAAAGAATTTCAAATGTCAAAATCTGAAAGTGTCACAGAATTTTTAGAAATTAGACTGAAGTTCGAGTTCAGTTCTTTATACAGTCAAAATTCTTTAATCCGGACTCGTCAGGACTTCGGCGATTCCTGATTATCGGTTTTTCCGGATTATAGATCATCAGTTTAAATCTGGTAAGATGGCATGTAGAAATTATAAAATTAAAAATATGAAACTATAATTTATGAAATAAAGAGCAATTATGATCTAAAGGGTACCGAAATTTAAAAAAAAGCTTAATATTTATTTGTTTACTTTATTAAACATTTCGGCTAATCTTTGGAATATGGTAAAAGGTAGTTTGGTGATATTTTGGTAAAGTGATAAAGGTTACTAGCTAGGACTTTAGCAGTGTACATGGATAAAGTCAAGAGTATGCGCAATGCCATTTTTGTGCAATTCTGGGATGTTTTTTCAAGTGAAAATAGGTCAACGTGTACATGGATACCGTGTATGTGCAATTCTTAAAAACGCGGCAAGCAGTGGGCAATTCTGCATTTTCTCCCAATTTCGCACCTAATCTTCGTCATGATTAAGCACTTTTGTTCCATAAAAGTTCTAGCATAAGCGTAATTCGGCTAGCAGATTATAGGAAAAAAATGTTGAGTAAAAAAAAAAAAAAGCATGCCTTTACTTCATAAAAACAAAATGGCGTTCAAAAAAAAAAAAAAAAAAAAAAAAAAAAACTAGCAGGTTGCTGTAGCAGGGTTGGTCGCCAAATTTTCGCCAAAAATTTGCCAAGTTACCATAATTCGAAGATTAACCAACATTTCTTTCAACGCGTGCATGCGTAAAGGATACATTACGCATGAAATACTACATTTAGTAAGGAATTATAAGCCGAATAAAATAAAAACATCTGCCCTGAAGATAAGGATAGTACTGACAGATCAACTTCCAGTTCATTGTGTGCCGCAACGTCCCCCCCCCCCACACACAGAGCAGCGTGAAATTGATAAACAGATTTTGGAATTGTTAGAGAAACAAAGGAGCCTTTATCCATTTTTTGCAGCAATTCCACTTTTTGTTTGATGGACATCGAAACATGCTTTCGCTTTGTAGATCCTTTGGTAGCTCCAGAATCGGAAATTCTTTTTGACATAATCGAAAGTTCAAGCTTACTTTTATAAAATTGCTCAAACAGTCTGCAAAAAATAATAAGCCGGATCCAATTCGAAGATTAAGGAACAACACAATCTGCAACATTAACTGAAATAGATAATTAGATAATTTTAGCTTAGCTTATACCATCCGTTATACATTAAACACGCATGCGTGAATGCATATGTGCATGCATAAAGGTATTATGCTCATGCGTTAATGCAATTATGCGTTGACACATGCGCAGAAAGTTTATAGCTTTGAGGTCCGGATAATAGATTATTGCGGATTATGAACGTCTGGATTAAAGACTTTTGACTGTATTTAGATCAGAAACCATATATTGAAAAATTACTTGATAAATTTAAAATGTCTGATTGTAAAACTGTCCAAACTCCCATTGAACCAAAATCTACAGCAGCTGATTTTCAGAAAGAAAATATATTTCATGCATGTGAGTCATCATGTGAGTTAGCATGTTGCCTAAAGAGAATTCTTAGGTCCTTGAAAAACACCTTAAATTTAAAATTGATATACAAAAAGGATGATTTGGAAAGAGCAAACTTATGTTTGTATGTAGATGCAGATTGGGGGGGGGGAGATATTCAAGATAGGAAATCAATTACTGGTTACTTTATAATGTTTTCAAACTGTCCTATTATGTGGTGCTCTAACAAGCAAAAGTGTATTGCACTTTCATCAACAGAAGCTGAAATAATTGCTTTATGCAAAGGTATTCAAGATGTTTAATGGATAAAAAATGTGGTAAACGAAATTTCCAATGTTGAAAATGTTTATATTTTTGAAGATAATCAATCATGTATTAAAAATATTGTTAATGAAAACTTTTCAGGTAGTTTGAAACATATAGATATAAAACTACAGTTCACCCGTAAGACTGTTAAAGAAAATAATATTAAAATTGAATATGTACATCAAGTTTACAAATCGCAGATATGTTAACTATGCTCTGTCCAAAATAAAATTCTATGACTTTTCTATAATATTTTCTATAATATATCTTTTCTATAATGTGTGATTAAGGGGGAGTGTTGAGATATCTGTAATCGCACTTTTATTGGTTAAAAAGAGTTATAGGTTTCTGTCACATCCGATGCATTCTGAAGCTAATCCTATTTTATTTGTTTATATTTTCTTTATGTTACTTTTGATTGGTTGTTTTCTGCATCATGTTTGTGATTCGCTAAACCATAATCTGCTGTAAAGTTACATACATAAACCCTGTAAACGTTTTCTCTCTGAGCGTGTTTCACCTTTTTGCTGTGTAATAAATGTTTGTTTTTTCGAACCACGGCGCTTTAAATGTTCAACACTTACTGTTATGATTATCACAAACTATGAAATTACAATTTCATTTATAAGGCATACCATTTATAGAATGGCATGCAAGTTCAATATAAGATGCAAGAAAAGAAAGGGTGATATATATATATATTATTATAATTATCATATATATATATATGATAAATTATAATAAAGATTGCACAAAAAAGTGATAAAGGTTTAATGGTTGTCAGACTTACAATAGTTGGAAAACTTATGATTTAGCTTATGATTAGTTTATTCAGCTAAAAATAAATTAGACAGTGAAAATATAACATTCTGAACCCTGTTAGCAGAATAGTAAATTAAGTCCGTTTCTGCACCTTCAGTGTCATTTTGCCAAGTGGAACCAAAAGTAAATTTTCAGTTTTTGTGCACCAAAGAATCAGCCTTCTTGTCTGCTGGCCGAATTGCTTGCTTTTGCATAAGTATTTATGCAGTGAGTTCTCAAGAAGACAAAATTAAAATAAAACTGAGTCATCTCTCATTTAAACAAAATGAGATACTTACGTATTAATGCCACCGCAGCAGAAGTTGAGCTGATGCGCGAAATATTTTAACAAAAAAGCGTAAAAATAATTGTGAGCACGTATTACCAGACAGTGGGTGTTTGGTGATATATGTAGAGAAACAAAAGATTTGTTTCTTGTCACTGTTTCTAATAGAACTGGCTCTACCCTTCTTAATAAAATTATTAAAAACAATTTAAAATCTGACAGTTGGAAAGGTTACCAAACAAATAGAACAGAAGAAGAAGAAGTCCTACATGCCAAAATTAATCATAAATACAAGTTTATTGATCCTGATACAGGAGTTCATACACAAACAGTTGAGAGTATGTGGGGCAGTGCTAAGTGGAGGAACAAGAGACATAGGGGGACAGCGAGACCTAATTTAAACTCCTATTTAGTAGAATTCATATGGCGACAGCATCAGGGGTGATAAAGTGATGCAAAAGTAACAGTTTTCACTATGCAATGCATGGTGCAACTTTTGCTGAGCACAAACACAAAGCAATTGCAGGAACTATGGCATGGTTGTAACAGAAACGGTAGTACTTAATGGCAGTTACTGCTATCTGGCATCAACCAACATTTCCATTTAGGGTTAGTGTACAAATACCTCTTATAGTTTAGTGCAAGTATCAAAAAACATATATTAAATACATACACAACATAAATAGTTTTAAAAAGTATCAATTCTACATATTTTTATTTGCATTCAATAAATAACTATGTCTTATAAAGAAATTTAAATCAAATAACATACTTGTAAAACTAAACAAATTTTTGGCCTATCTATCTAAATGAAAATTTTTGTGGGTTACATTATTTTGCTCATTGTTTCCTCATGGGTATATTTAATGAATACAAACTAAATACAGCACCTGTACAATAAAATAAAAAATAATTCTGATCACCTTTGTGCTGGCACATATCCTGGTTATGAGATTCAGGCACTTGCTATGACATTTAAAACCACATTCTGGAAAAAAAAAAAATTCATGGTATTAATCATCATGAGATTTTAATTAATTTTTCTTTCTCATACAATTCAGGCAAATAAACAGTCTGTAGGTACATACGGTCAGATTATTTTTTTATGTAAAATCTATCTCAAGTTCTTTTTTTCTTCATAAATGAGACAAATGACTCATCTAAACTGTTACATTTCAAAGTATCCCAGTTAACTAACAAGAATGAAATCATTAATAGACAGCATGCATAATCATTGATAGACAGCATGCATGGAAATCTCAAGTTCAAGTTGCAAAGAAGCTCAGTGTAGTGAATAATGTCATCCCCAATTCACAAAAACAGGAGATCAGTTATATATATACAAAAGGCAAGGTTAAGGCCAACCAACAGCCATGACAACTAACATAGATTATTTCCTGCTTTCAGCCAAGAGGCTTGCTACGTCATACAATTCTTTCATGAGCTCTCTCCTACCAATGGAATCATAGTTTCAAGGGTTGTTTTCCAAAGTTTCATATAAGAGATGACCTTCTGAGATACCCGTTGTTTGCATCTCCTTCACAAAAGGAAACAAGTCTGGCATTGTGCAGAAAACATCAGACTGGGAACTAATTTTCTTGAAACTCAGTTCCCTTTAGTACTGAGTTTAGATTAAATTCAGACATGAATTTTAGATATAGCTTCACCTGAAAAGAACATGGGACCTAATATATTTCCTCAAGTATCGGGTTAAGGGACCATATGGTGTCATATTGTTACAAAATGTACAGCAGCGGTGAGATAGCTTCCCCGCAAAGCAGTTTTAGGGTTGCCATAAAATGGGAAGAGAAGGCAGGGTTGCCACATTTGGTGGCAAAATTGGCGATATGCCATAGACGGATGGAGAACCTTCTGGAACGAATTCTTAGCGGTTTAGCCCAGAACGTTCAACACAAGCCGAAAGCTATATAAACCGTGCTGGTCCGCAGTCAGTTAGAGAGTGCTGTCGAGAAGGCGAGTGAGTGTGTCTCGTCTAGAGTGCGAGTGTCTCATCTAGTTAGTCCGAGGGAAGACGATCGAGTTGACAGCCGGCCAGTGAGTGCCAAGTGGGTCGTCGAGTTCATCGAAGGAGTCTGTTGGTGTATCGCGGTTAATGCATTGTCGAGAAAGCATGTTGAGCTCCGGGAATGACTGAACCGAAAAGACAGGAGCTCTGCTTTTAGTTTTGTCGAGTGCATCACGAGTTGTAGCGTGGAGTCTCAAGAGTACGTGGAGTTCCGAGAACGATCAAGCAGAGTCGGAAGCTGTACTCTGGTGCTTTGCCATGAAGCTGTCTCCACTGTGATAGCCTGATAACCTGGAGGCTGTGTCGCTGATCGTGTCAGTGTGTTTATAGTAGTTCATCGATGACTTGTTTTGGAGCTGTCCTGACAATACTGGCCAATAAAGTGTGTTTCAATACTTCATCAAGTAATGTCGTTGTTATTCACTCTAAATCCATACAAACCCCGTACGAACGTGAAGGAAGAAAATAACGCAACAACTGGTGTCAGAAAGAAAATAACGTAACAATATTATTATGTAATATCAGTAACATGGCCTATGCAGGTATCAAGAGAAATGGCAATACACCATCCCACATGTTTGACAATGGGTCCTAAGCACAGAGATATACAGAAGGAATCTTGCAGTCCTGTATACAGCTTTCAAAGACAACAATCGGCTCTCAATTTCTTTTTATGGATGATGATGTTCGTCTGTATAGGGCTGAACTGGTGATGACAAATATATTTAAAGTCAGGATACCTGGCAGATGGATTTAGCAGCCAGAATTTCAGACCTGAACATAGCCAGTTCCAGAGACAATAGCTGTCTCGATAACAGTATGACGACTCATAGCATGACCTTATGTCTGTTAGAAATTATTTTATAACCTCAATTTAGACATCCTCTTGCAATAAATATAATGAAACACTCAATCGATTTCGAGGGCAGCTCCGCATCAGGAGAAAGGTCCCTCCTCATCAGGAGAAAGAAAGATCTAGAAAGAAGAAAATAAAGGAGAAGGAGTCTCAGAAACACATGGTCCTTATCAGCACTGCACGTGGTTATAACTGGATTTTTAATCAGAGTTGCACTGGCCGCCTACTTTTACTGAGCCACGCTATCTGATCAAGCATAAAGCACAAGAAAAATTAGCGAAGTTAAAATAGGGAGCGAGGGGCAAATGCACCTCCATGCTCAAAATCTGAACTTCAAATAATTGAAAGCAACTGCTGAACGGATTTTTATACCCTGTGGTAGTACCAAACGCGAGGAGGTAACGCCATCTGTCGGCAAAAATAACTGAATTAAGATAGTAGAATTTTAAAGGCATTAGGAAGGACTGGATTGGACTTCAAATCATTAACTAAACCTGCTAAATCTTTGTGAATGTGAAAAGCCTCAAGAAAATCCAATTCACCTATGGAAGAAGCCTTTTGGATAATTTTGCAGACCCGAAGTCAAAATCATGGTTAAATGTCCAACTATGATAGGCTATTGAAGACTTGTTAATTTCGCCTTTTCTGACATAAGATTATGTTCCTTGATACGAAACTTTAACGCTCTTTTTGTTTGGCCAATATATCTTAAACCACACTGACACAATATACTATAAATTCCCCAGGAATTCAAGACAGAAACGCAATCTTTTAGAATTGAAGGATGAATTTTATTAATAGGGGAGAAACCGACTTGAAAATTGAATTTCTGGAGAATCCATGCAATTTTATAGCTAACAGAAGGATAAAATAGAAGCACGACAAGGTCATTAATATTTCTAACAGTGGAATGTCTTCTTTGATGGGAATCTGAAAATTTTTTAACGGCTTTATCAATAATCATGGGAGAAAAACCACGGTCAACCGCAACTGCTCTCAAATAATTAAGTTCATTGGTAAGCAAAGATTCAGAGGAACAAACTTTAAGCGCGCGGAATACATAATAGTAAAAAGAAGCTATTTTTTGCTTAACAGGGTGGCATGACTTGGCATGGGGTGGTAAACAAACTACAAAGGGTTTACGGTACACAGTGGTACTAAAATCAGTTTCATTGCGGATTATAAGAATATCAAGGAAGGGGAGATAATTGTTGGATTCAATTTCAAGAGTGAATTGGATGGCTGGATCAATTGAATTTCTAATAGATAGAATCTGGGATAAATCCTCTTTATAACTGTCAAAAAGTGCAAAAGTGTCGTCAACATACCGAATCCAAAGACGAAAAGATAGTTTATCAAATAATTTCATCTCAAAATAGTGCATGTAAATGTCAGCAAGTACCGGACTGAGAGGATTACCCATATACAATCCTTCAACTTGACGAAAATATGTATTTTGGAAAACAAAGTGGGTTTGACTTAGAGAAACTTTAGTAAGCGAAATCAACTCATTAATTTCAGTATGTGTGAAGAGATTATGACCTTGTCGTGCTTCCATTTTATCCTTCTGTTAGCTATAAAATTGCACGGATTCTCCAGAAATTCAATTTTCAAGTCTGTTTCTCCCCTATTAATAAAATTCCCTTCGATTCTAAATGATTGCATTTCTGTCTTGAATTCTTGGGGAATTTATAGTATATTGTGTCAGTGTGGTTTAAGATATATTGGCCAAACAAAAAGAGCGCTGAAGTTTCGTATCAAGGAACATGAATCTTATGTCAGAAAAGGCGAAATTAACAAGTCTTCAATAGCGTATCATAGTTGGACATTTAACCATGATTTTGACTTCGGGTCTGCAAAAATTATCCAAAAGGCTTCTTCCATAGGTGAATTGGATTTTCTTGAGGCTTTTCACATTCACAAAGATTTAGCAGGTTTAGTTAATGATTTGAAATCCAATCCAGTCCTTCCTAATGCCTTTAAAATTCTACTATCTTAATTCAGTTATTTTTGCCGACAGATGGCGTTACCTCCTCGCGTTTGGTACTACCAAAGGGTATAAAAATCCGTTCAGCGGTTGCTTTCAATTATTTGAAGTCAGATTTTGAGCATGGAGGTGCATTTGCCCCTCGCTCCCTATTTTAACTTTGCTAATTTTTCTTGTCCTTTATGCTTGATCAGATAGCCTGGCTCAGTAAAAGTAGGCGGCCACTGCAAATCTGATTAAAAATCCAGATATAACCATGTGCAGTGTTGATAAGGACCACGTGTTTCTGAGACTCCTTCTCCTTTATTTTCTTCTTTCTAGATATTTCTTTCTCCTGATGAGGATTGTCACATTAGCGTGTTCATCCTCTTGCAATGTCACTTTTGGATATTCCTCCTTTCATGAAGCTTATTCACAATGACAAATGGGTTATTTCTTTATTATATAGCACAAATTACTGCGTTACTACAAAATTTTGTTTTATATTTTGCAGTACTTACACCAAATTTCATTAAATTCTATCTGCTATATTTTAAGAAATCAGAGAGGGACAAGTATTTACTCTCTTAATTTCGAACGTAAGTCCCATGCATGATTTCCATTGTCGATACAAAGAAAAAAAGAATAGAAAATATTATACAGATAGTATTAAATAAAAAGCAATCACCTAATAAAACTCACCCACACAATGATACCAATTTTTCATTACTCCCCAAATTATACCACAGCACTTTTCACAATATTGTTGAGGTCTCTCTAAACTACGCAACTCAAATTTGTGACCCAAAACAATAGTCACATCAGGTGGTATTTCAGGAGGATCCTAGAAATAAACTAAAATAAACAAACATATCATATGCAACTAGAGGACTGATTTTTTACAGTAAAGTATTGGAATAAGTTATCACACAATCTGTAATTACAGTAAAGTATTGGAATAGGTTATCACGCAGTCTGAAACAGTAAAGTACTGGAATAGGTTATCATGCAGTCTGTAATTACAGTAAAGTATTGGAAGAGGTTATCACACTGTCTTTAATATTTAAGTCATAGTTACTTAACTATGCATTTTGAGGTAACATACAAAATATATATTTCTTATCATAACCTAAATGGAATATCCAGTATGGAAATGGTTATTGCAATATCAGCTAAGTCTCATTTTTGTAACTAAATATAGCTACTTGCATTATTTGTAATAAATTTATTGATACTGTACTGAATAGAATTATAGCGTTAGGTTAGGTTTACCTCTAAAAGTACTCTATCTTCTAGTGGCATATGCCTTTCCGGAAGACATTTTATGCATATTGCACATGAGAACAGCTATCAAACTCCAAGCAGTGAGCAAGAATTAAATATGAAATTAACTACAGTACAAAGTCCGAAATCCGGACTAGTTAGGATTTTGGCAATTCTGGATTAGGGATTTTTCCGGATATTAGACCATCAATTTAAATCTGGTAAGATGGCATGCAGAAATTGTACAATTAAAATATGAAATCATAATTTCTGAAATAAAGAGCAATTATGATCTAAAGGGTATCAAAATTTACAAAAAAAAAAGAACTTAATATTTACATGTTTACTTTATTAAACATTTCTTCTAACAAAAATTGTTTAAGTTGCTTTGTTTATTGTGCTAATACTTTCTCTTTAATTCTATAGATATATAACTTCTTGTTCAGTTACTAAGTTCCATTGTTCAAGTCCTGTAATTACTGTGTCGAGAATTCCAACTAACTTGCCAATCAAAATTTTTTCTTTTTCAATAACCTCTCTGTCACTTTCTTCACAATGAGTAACAGTATTTTCTGGATCTAGAACCATACTATAGATTTCACCATCCATTAACTGATTGATGATTGAGGCATTGTTCATCATTGCAATGAAAACCTTCTGTTAACTCTTCTTGCCTAAATTTTGCCGCTCGGTGCGGCCATGAGTGATCTGGCATCAGTTCTGGCTATATGTGAATAACAAATCAATTATTCTTAATTCAAATAGCACTAAATATAAATGTTTGGCTTACGAGTATTGTTATCAAAATCTATTTTTAGCATACGAAAAGAAATTTTTGTTAAATCTATCCTCATCAACATTTAGCACATTTAACTTACATCTGCAATCAGATAATATTCTTTGTTATTCAATTACTAACATAAAGAATGGTTTAGGCATCCCTGCATGAGTCATCACTCAAGTTGCACGTGTTGATAAACATGCAGTGATGAAAGCAAAATAGGCACTACTCTTACATACACCCTCGGTTGGCGATAAATTTCTCGCTAAACATTCTTGGCACGAAACTCCATGGCGCCACATTACTCTCTAAATTTTTTGTCTACATTTCAAACTTTAAGCTTAAAATGTCTGCAAAAACCACGCTTTTAACACACAATTTATGCTAAAAATAGAAAACAAGAACAAAAAAAATTTAAACAGGAAAATTTAAAGTTTCTAATCAAAGATTTTTTACAAGTATCTATGTACACAGTGATCTGTTTTAACTTAAAAAAAAAAAAGAAAATCAGAAAATTGCACATAGATTGTGGAATCTAGGAAGTATGCATATCTCATTAAAATAAACTAACATAACAACAATAAATTTCAAACAATACCATGTACACAGCATTCTGTTTTAACTTTAAAAAAATCAGCGAATTGAACAATCTAGGCATTGCATTGTGCACAAATCAACAAAATAAACTAAAACAAGTAAAATAAATTAAAAACAATTAAAAAAAACAATAACGACAGAAATTCATAGCAAAAAAATCAATGAACATAACATTCTACAAAATAAGAACAACAATAAAATACAATGCACTTGTGAATGCTTCTTCAAACAGGAGAAATAACAATCAGCAAAACAACAGTTCAAAACAAAAAACACAAACACTTTCATCAAACAGTCTACAAACAAATTTTCAATTTATCCCACTCAACAGTTCTAACAATTTTCACAAATTTGTTGAAAGGATCTTCTCCCGTTTCAGAACAGTAATGGAAAAACATATAAACCACCAAAAATTAAACACAAAATCGCATTTCCGATTATAAGTAGGCAATGTAGCTTTAACATGCCCCACACACTCTCTATCGCATTTCCACACACCTCTCAACTCGATAGACCCGATAGAAATCCCAAAAATACACATAAATGGGTTCACAGGTGTGTTAATTCACATAAACACACCTGCAAACAAAAGACTTGTTAACAACTTCAACATCGCACCTTTTAATACTAAATTTACTTTGCACATAATCCAAAATACGTGACTGAAATTTTGCCACCCCGTCTTCCATTGCAACATAAGCGATTTCAAAAACGCCCACCAAACCAACCAGTAAATAAAACCAGGTTAGAATAGACTGAAGGGTACCCCTTGCATTATCGCAAAGTTGTCGTTTCATTTATCGCCAAGTTGTTGTTTCATTTATCGCCAAGTTGTTGTTCCATTTATGGTAACCTGAGTAGTTGAATGTCCTGTAAAATATACTTTTACATAGAATTGGGTGCTCTTTTGACTTTTTAAGTGAAAATATATCGATGTGTACATTGAAAAAGGGAAAGTGCAATGCCAAATCTGTGCAATCCTGTGATTTTTTTTAAAGTGAAAATAGGTTGACGTGTGCATGGGTAAAGTCAAGGAAGTTCGCAATACTTAATATGTGCAATTCTGTGATTCTTTTTTTTTTTTTTTTTAGTGAAAATAAGTCAACGTGTACATGGATACTGAGTTTGTGCAATTCTTTGACGTATTATTTTGTCTTTGTGTAGCAGCGGTTTTTCGCCAAGGGGTACCCATAAATCAACTTTTAACATAAAACCACTACAGCAAAATCAAGTTTTAACGTCAAAAAACATCGCGCCAAAAACCATTTCAGAACACACACTCACGCCAAAACCCAGCGCAGAACACATACCACCACATTTGGTGACCTGAGAGCGTATATAAGAGAAATACTGCACAATATAATAAATAATGATTTGCCAGGTTGGCAAAGAATATAAAATATTAATTGGTGTAAAATCAACAATGTTTCTATGTACACTGCTCAAAAAAAAAAATGGGACAGTGCTATATCTCCCGCTCTACTGAGGCGATTGACGAAATTCAAATTGCGTTCTTCATATCTCGAAAGTGCGACTTAGGATATATATTAGATTTATATATAGCACTATTCTAACATAGGTATTTTGACACAAAATCGGACTTTTTCTGAAATAACATACCAATTTTTTTTTCCATATTTCGATTCTACGACTCAAATTATGCCAGAATACCAAGTTTTGTAAAAATCGTACGAGTAGTTTTTAAAATATTAGCTCTCAAAATTTTAGCTCCTCAATGTTAATTGAATTTGGCAAATATTTATTAATATCTCTTTTTTTATTAAACTTTTTTGATTTTTTCTCTCACATTTCGAAATTTAGGTTCATTCCAAATAAAATTTACCCATTTTTTGTGTTTTATTTTTTAAATTTCTATTTTTAAATTTAAATAATTTTTATAAATTTTTCGAAAAAAATTTTGAATTATAACCTATAAAATTTTTACCATCATCTTAAAGTAGGTGTATTTTTTAAGCATATCTGCAAAAAATTAGACTTTTTTATTCAAAATTTTCTAAGATATACACGAATTTACATATTTTCGCATTTTGAAATTTGGCATCTTTTTTTGGAGCGATAATAACGCCAAATGTGGTCTATGGATTTTTGTTACAGTGAATTGCCACAGCTATTTTTTAACCTTAAATTTCAAGTAAAATTTTACGGAGAATTAATTATATGACATTTTTTCCCTCAATGATGCGTAATAAATATTTATTAATACTATATGAAAAGCTATTTTTTTTTAAATTATAGATGATATTATTCAAATTTTTAACTATTTTTTTTAAAATTTCTCTCTATCTTTCCTTTTTTAAAAAAAAATAAGAGTAAATTTTTACCTTCGGCGTTTTATCGTCTGCTACTTTACTTCGTTTAAATCGAATTGTCTAAAACTGAGAATTTTCGTTTGATGTTTATTTGAATTTTATGACATTAACTGCATAATTTATTTCTAAACAAACTGTTGCTTTTGAAGTGGCTGAAAGAGCGGCTGATACTATCATCCATATTTTTAAAGCACAATATATTTTTTATAGAAACATAAGATTTAGAATAATCATTTTTATAAAAGTCAAATTATGATATAAACATACAACCCTCTAGAGACTGAATTAATGGAAGTTCAATGGTTATGTAGAAATGATCTGCAGCTACTTAATGGCTGGATAAGTCAGCAGATTCTGTGGACAAGTAAGAATAATTATATAAACGACACCCAACATTCTGGATTCAATTAACAACGAGGATACGATGTTTATTAAATGAATTTAAGAAGTTTTAAAACATAAAAAATCAACTCATTTTTTATCCTAAAATGTATTTTTGTGCGTAGCGTATTTTCATTATATCCTTAAAATTCTAATTTAGAATGTAATTGTCAAGAACTGAATCCTAATCATCAGTAATATAATAAGTAATTATTACGGTTATTAATAAATCCTTCTTATAAAGTAATTGCAAATATTTCAAAAAACTTTCTGTCTGAATGCAAATATTTTTCTGTGCAAATATTTTTAATTTTATATTAATCAAGATTGCACACGATATTATTTATTTGCACTTCAATTCTTAACGTCAGTTCTAGTAGAAGTTACAAATCAATTATATTTAATTAAGGATTGGATTGGATTATTTAATTATGGCAAAGCACACGAGGGCTATCTGCCTAAAGGGAGGGATGCCTTCGTGGAGGACTTTCT